TTTTATCATGCCGTCAACCAGTTTGAAGCAGTTCAGTATTTATTGTGCGGCAATAGTAATTTCCAAACAAGTCAGAGTAAATGTCACTGTTTTCCCGGAATCATTTTTGCACATGGACGCACGCAAATTGAATCATTCATTCATTCATTCATTCATTAGTGAAAGTTATGTCTGTCTGTCTGTCTGTCTCTCTCTCTCTCTCTGGAACGAAGTTAAGGCTTTCATAAATGTTTTTGTAGGTCATGTTGTTATCACAAAACCGGATATATCTTTTGGATGTACAAATAACTTCTTATTAAATCAATTATTGATATAAGCAAAAAGACACAATTACGTTAAACATTTTAAAGGAATAAAACCATGTTTAAAATCACATAGAAATATACTGAAAGACATTTATGATGTCGTCTTGTTATTTGCACAAAAAGCCCTGGAACAATAATTTCTTTCACTAAAAAAATAAGTTTTTGGGGGAAAACCATAACGCAGGCGGATTAGCTTACTTATCGATATCTCTTACAACTATTACAGTGTATCAAAGATGAACTTTCTTTCATGTTACATCCTGTACCTTTTCCTCATGATATTTACCATGTAATTGTATGTCTCTTATGATATAATGGCTCTGAACATAATGCTATGTACCCTGGCCTGAACGAAAAATAGAAAAGAAAACAAAGAAGGACCGAAATAAGACTCACACCCTTGGCCAATTGTCCTCACGACCCCAGGTACACGCTTGCCAATTAGATACTACAGTAAGGTTAAAATGCATTCCAAAACGTAAGAAATTACAACAAAATGAACAGTTACAGTTATTACATTCGTGAGTGTTTCGTGATTACTCCGATGCTGCCATTGCCATTTAATAAATCAGCAGGGACAAAACACACTAGTGGGTGCTTGCGACGATGTTGTAGTTGCATGTGGATAAATCAGTATGTACATAATATGCTCGTCAAAACAATTTAAGGAGCACTGATATTTTGTAGCACTGTTCATTCGGTTCCTTTTAAATTTGGTAAATGGCCTCCTGATCGGCGGCTTACGTACTGATATTGAAGACTACCCTTACTCAAGTGACGTCCTGACCAGAACAAAGAATTTGAATCATACTGGACTCGTCAAAGTTCATTTTGACCAACACTCATTTTCATGGAAATTGTTGTTGTAATCTGCTCCTCACAGCTGCCGTAAAAATGGAGATCGTGCATTTGCTCAGTTATTCTCATGAAGCACGAGCCACAAGGAATTTTTGTGCGAAATTTGGGTTGATAAAGGCAGGTCGCTATGAAACTGCATCACTGAGTTCAACATGCCACAACGTTGACACCTCACGATTGAAGAACGAGGTAAATGAGAATGTTTCACAGCGGGGAGCTGCTCGAAGGTTAAATGTTAGTCCATCCGTTATTTGCTGATTACGAACAAACACAGACAGTACGTGATAGACCAAGGTCAGGACGCCCTCGTGTGACAACAGGAAGAGAAGACCGATACGTCGTTGTTGAAGCATTGAGGAGGAGAACAATCACAGCAAACAATCTTCAAAGGCAACTGAGGGCTGCTACAGGAACAAGTGTGAGTGACCAAACCATAAATAAACCGTATGAGTGACAGAAACATCAGGCCCCGACGTCAAGCCGTTAGACCGCCTCTTCTTCCGCGTCACAGAGCAGCCAGAGACGCATGGGCACGGCAAAACAGACAGTGGACAAGACGACAGTGGTCAGCAGTTCTTTTTTCTGAAGAATCTCGGTTCTCACTGCAGCATAATGACTGTCGTTTTCTTGTCTACAGACGGCGTGGGGAACGTTTTGCTGACGTCAACGTCCGTGAGCACAATCGTCTTGGTGGTGGTAGTGTCATGGTGTGGGCCGCCTTCTCATTTCATCACAGAACCAATCTGTACGTCATCAACGGGAATTTGAATGCTGTTAGCTACAGGGATGAGATTCTGAGACCAATGGTGATTCCTTGTCTCCATCGAATAGGCCCACAGGCGGTTTTCCAGGATGACAATGCTAAACCTCATCGTGCACGCATATTCACTGACTTTCTGTGACAAAACAATGTTACTCGAATGGAATGGCCAGCATATTCTCCTGATATGGCACCCATTGAACACGTATGGGATCTGTTAACGAGACGTGTTGGGGAGAACCACCCTCCACCTCAAGATCTGCGCCAGCTTGCTCAATGGCTCAGTTTGGAGTTGCATGCTATCCCACAGAACACACTACAGACATTAGTGACATCCATGAGGCGTTGTTGTGTTGCATGTGTGGCTGCTAGGGGTGGACACATAAGCATTAGTAATTTACCTTCATTGTATAAATATTTCCGTTTTTCAAGGAAAACAACGAGCGCTATCAGTATATATCAGTATTCAATATATATAAATGGATGTTCGTTTGTACCCTTGATCAGAGATGAGACAGTTCTTCATGAAATCATATTTATGTATATCTAGAATATGAAGTCCAATATGAATTATATACGTACTTTATAATACATTGGCTGATTTGATTTCCAATAATATTATCTATCAGCCAATCACATTCTATGCAAGTTTCACGAAACACCTGATTTATAACAAGTTGCCTTACATGATACATTTTTGCGTAGTACCACGTCGGTAATAATTCACGTTGTAGTATTGTTAGCTCAGAAAGCTGTCCCCTGACAACATACGTCAACCCTTTAAATGCAGGATTGTAAGAAAAATGTCACCATTGAGTTATCTCAGGATTATTAAATTAGAACTGCCATCTGATAATCGATCATCTCTTTGAGTTCTTATCGATTTTCTAAATATAATACAGAGCTACAATACTGTTACGTGTCTACTTCCTATTTGAAACATTAAGATAACCCGGAAATCTATGCATAAACGAATTCAGTATGATACCAACACTTAACACTTGTGTTATAAAATTAACTATAATTACAAGTAAATACAAATTACATCAAAGTAATCACAATGGCAGTCCACAATAGAGTAGCAGTAAAGCATTCAATGGCAGTACAACTGCAATACGAGTATACAATACAATACTGTGGTTAGAGCAACAAAGATGAGTGCAATTATATTCACAAAGCAGCGACATGTCGGTGTTATATTGCATTTGTTTGAATGTTCAGTCTGTGAGTTTAATACTTTGTGAAAATATTGAATCGTTCAGGCGTATTCATGATCTAAAAATTTACGTTTACTTATTAAAGTTACATGTTTACTTCTGTTCTGCTATGGGGTATGGTCCATCTGCATTGCACATCCTATTGAAAACAGAAGCATGTCAACTTTTCGAATACTCTTACACATCCTTCCTGATCTATAGATACATGTACACAAAGTATATGAAAGTCCAGGGGTCACCTGAACAAACACGGTCAAAAAAGGAAAATGCATTTTGATCTCTCATGATAAATATTTCGGAATGTCATCCATATGTCTACTCTGAAACCTTTACAAATTTTACATGTTGCCTTTTTCAACGTAGTGTTGTGGCCATCCGCGAAAAATATCACACTCAAAAGCAGTTGCCCTTGTGTATTTCCTCTGCAGCCAACAGTTTATAAAACATTGAAACAGCATGTACAGCTGCCTTGGATTCAGCAGTACAAAACCACTAAAATAAAACTAACTGGGTATATGGGGCACATACAAATATAGAAACCGAAACCAACAGAGGATTGAAAACTTCCCTGCAGCAAAGGTCATAAATATCCAACCTACATCACATAACGTGATTACCTCTTGAACCAAATAGGCATACACGTGTAAAAACACCAATGTCGCATGCCTTCGAGAATTTATCACTTTAAGGCCCAATTCTAGAGATAAGTATGTTACGTTTCATCAAATTCGAATCGTGTATGCCCAATTTATTGTGTTCACATGCTTTTATGAATGTCTACTTCACATTTAGTGACATTGACATCAAATGTCATCCAAATAAATGTTAGAACATCACTTGCTGCAAACTTGTGTCATACATATAAAGTCTACATACTATACTGACCAAGCTTTCTGAAGGGAACAATTCACATGTCATGAGTTATTGACCTTCGAGGTGACTTCCAGATTATTTTCTGATTTGGAAATTAATAATCTTATAGCAAATATTCAATGTGGTTTCCGTAAAAATAGAAGTACCATTAATCATTTTGTACGATTAGAAGACTTTGTAAAAAAAATGCTATTGCCGACAAACAACACGCGTACTGTGAATATCTTTCGATCTTGAGAAAGCTTATGATACTACCTCGAAGCATGGCATTTTAAAGGGTTTACATGATTTTGGCTTGAGAGGTCGTTTACTTCATTGCATATGACAGTTTTTAACAGACAGGCACTTCCAACTCAGAGTGGGATCCACCATGTCTCACCATAATAATCATTATCACACAAGGCAGTTTGTATATTCAGTATTAAAGTAAATAGTCTGTAGATGGATCACTTTTCGTGGAAGGTTTTAATATTATATTATTATTATCTAATAGAGAGGAGTTACAAACGACGATGACTGCCAAAACACGGTGAAATCAAGAGACATGTGTGAGACATTTACGATTGTAATAGATTCGTTCACGGTGAATATAGATGTACACTAGACACACATATTCCTATATCCATATACTGTTTAACTCAAAGCACAAATGATATGAAATCTCCTTATTTCGAAGTTGTTGGCACTGTGTTTACTGGTCCAAAAGATGGTGGTGTCTTCAACATTACCATTGATTCGGATCACGCTCATGTACGCAATGACGCGACAACATGTTCACATTTTCCAATTGTTAAAAACATATATGTGTTTAGAAATAATGTTCAATTGTATGAACAATATACACTTAAGTTTAAAACGTTGAGTCAACTGTTACTTTACTTCAAAATGTTATTATCATTGTTAATTTAAAACATTTTGTTGGAGGACAGCCAATATCAGTATAATGAACTTCAAGTAACTGAAAAGAAACAAACAGATTCATAAGAATACAGTCAGAATGTTTATTGATAAAGCTATGTATTAGATACAAGTACAGAACAAGTTCTTAAGTCCAGGGCAGGAGAAACAATCGACACTGTTGTGCCATCCACTGATATACAAAACACGTTAAATGTCCCCTACTATAAGTAAGACACGTATATAGTCCACATTGTTACTTACAGTTGAATTGGTGGTAGGTTAGTACATCCACACTTTCTCTTTATCAATCCATGCACAAACCTTTGTCCAGTGGTTGCTGATGATTTTATTTGTGACAAAATCACGATGTCAAGGTTTTGTGTGAAGTGAGCCTCCACTAAAGAAAAACTATCACAGGGCCTGTTTCATATCTATCAGAATCAATATCAATAAGCTCGTAGTCACGTGCTTCTAGTTGTTCTACTGGACATTCTACTTCTTCATCATCAGTTTCTTCCCTACAACAAAATCAAAATCATCATTTAGTTACATTGTGTGATAGGACATGGGTACACATCCAAGGTCTTAACTGAAGGTAAATACATATTCAGTATTCAATACTCCCACACGGTAACAGTGCGGAGCATCTTGCTATGTAGTTCATAAAGGAGATTTATTAGTTAAGGTAACTATAAACATAGGTAAACTAACTGCAGTCAAATGTAACAGAAAGCATTCTAATTTATAGTGGACCTTGTGTTACAAAAATACACTTTAAGTTTAACCTTTTGGCGCAATGACGTCCGTATGCAATGCATATTGCTACTATGATGGCAGCAAGGCAAAGCACACACGCTGTTGATGTTCCGATAATGAAAGTGTCACCAGGAAGACGCTCTGAAGAAAACAATGATGTTAATGTTAACAATTAACTAAAGACAGTTCCGGATGATAAATTGCTACTTAACACCATAATACTAGCACTTATCAGTTTATTTGGAAACACTTTATTAAATAGCTCTAAAAACCTACAGCTTTGAATTTTTTAACTGATTAAATACAAAAACATGGCTAAAATGTGTAAACAGGATGAAAGTTCGAGAGATGATATAAATATTACCCTAATCTCTTTCTCCAAAACATGCTAGTGTTGAACTGCACAAAGTCTAGTTATCATGTGGACACAGCCGATACTAATTATAATATGAAGGATATTTGTCATCAATGGAATTATAATCACACAAACATGATTTATGTTATGAATCTATGTTGACGGTGGTTTTCAAATACACTGCTTATAAAAAAAATAATCTCTAACATCATTAAATACCTTCTATACCCCATATATTGGTGCGGATTCAAAATGGGTTTTAAAAATTGATAAAAATAACAAAAACTACCGTTAACGATGCCCCCATGTTCCATTGATGGAACTGTTTCGATTCCTACATGGGAAATATTCCTTTCGTCAGGGTTGAGCAGGCCAGTGTGTTGTTAACACAGTTATTATATTGATAGTAAATGTGAGGCATGTCTGTTTAATTATAGTCAGGGCAAAGGGAACAACAATCTCAATTTGGAACTTCAGCCAAGTCCCATTAATCCGACATGGTTGGTTGCAGAAAATTATGGATTATCAGCGTTCGTGTTCGAACTGCACGATAGATAACGATACAAAATCGTTGTTATAAAAAATAAATATTCATATTGTTACATATTGTGAATATGTTTTCAAATCATGCAACCTTTAAAGCTAAACACAAAACTATGGTTACGGGCTGAATAAATGAATGATTCAAAATACTTTAAAAATCATAATCTGGAATGGAAGTCGCTTGTTTCAAACTGGTGCCGTAAAACCCAAGAAAGCTGCTTTCTTAGTGGCTAATGCCGACTTCCTGTTAGATATTTCTTTGGTCGGTCAAAGATGGCGAAAGATCTTCTGACGTGACCCGTAACGGGATGTCCTCAGCGAGAACTTGCATGTGATTTTTATGAGATTGAGGTAAACATGTGATTAATATTGTAATGTTTATCAAAAGCTTAATTTTGTTTATTGTTAAGATAGTTTATCTCTACAGTCGTTGTATTATGCAGCTACCTGCCAGCTCATCGCAGATCAAAACACGGGGCTGTATATGTAAAGCTACGACTAAACAAAAGTTCAAGTAAAATATGTGTAAATCTAAGCTTTTGTAGTTTGAGGAACACTTGTCACCTTCCGTGAGTGAATGCAATAAAAATCTTGTATTGACGATAAGTAAGAATTGTTTGTTCATGTTTACCAGAACACGTTCTGTCTTCAAGGCATGTCTCTATGGGGCAATCATGTCGACATGTAGATTTGCAAGTCTGGTGAGTAATATTACATCCTTTATTGCAGAATCCAAACTTCCGGTCACAAACACCATCAACGCATATCCCACATGTGTTGTTACAAAACGCACCATAATAACCATTGTTACATCCTTTCGCACAGGTTCCGTTCTCCGAGTGACAAACATGATCGATGCAGTTCTCATAGCATGAGCAGTTAGTCCCAGCATACCCTGGTGCACAACCATCAACACACGCTCCTGACTCAGTGCAAGCCACATATGAACACTTTGGGTTACATCGAAATGAACAGTTTTTACCATACCATCCGGCATTACAACCGACGACACAATCTCCTGTGGTTTTATTGCATTCGGCGATGCAATTGATGGAGGTGTTTCTGTCACATTCTAAGGTTTCGTTGGGACCAGGACGGCAGTTTACACTGCACACCTTATCACACCAATGACCATAGAAGCCTGGTTGACAGCCTCCTTCACATCCAGATTCACAAGATCCTGCACAGTTCTCACATGACATCTCAAAGTTCAGACCCCTGTATGGATCACGACAACGATCACACATCCCTGTAGACCTGTTACAGGATTTACATTTCTCAGAGCAGTTCTTACAGTTAAGGCCATAGTAAGCGTCAACACATCCAGAAACACAGGAGGAACCCAGCTTACAGAATCCGCCAAAACATCCCCCTTCACACACTGTACACTGTATCCAAGGGTTGTCACATGGTATGTTGTACTTTGTACCCTGGCATCCTGGAACACATCCCTCCGTGCATGTCTCCATGCCTCTCGCTGTGAGTTCACACGACTGATTTGTGCATTGGCTGCTGCACTCTGACTTGCATTTCCTGCCAAAGTATCCACGTTTACACTGTGTTGAGCAGTCTTCGTCATTGTCACGTTCTCGGCAGTGCTGACCACTACGACATGTCGTTGCTGAAAATATAGAATCAGTATGGTGTTCAGTATGACATCAAGAAGGGCGTGACATGATCAACTTTGGAATGTTTGATTTGGATTGAACTTTTTATGCTCATTTCCACATTCTTATTATATTTCGTTATATCTACACAATTATTTTGATAAATGTGAGTTTGCTATTTGTTATCCTTAACCGTGCATTAATTGCAATCGAAGCACGTTATTTCTAACTCCTTTGGGCCAGATATATAGCTTAGGAGCTTCGACAGATACGAATCAACCTTACGACTGAGAAAAAAGATAAAGACCACTGAAATATAGACAATAAAAGAATATGTTAGTTCGTTTACTCAAACCCATTGATTCTCGGAAAACCATCAATTGGGGTACATGAAATACAATAATATGCAATTTATTACATGTACATGTTAATTTGACAGCATTTAACACGAATTATGAGAATAGGATACGTTTATAGTAATACAATTTAACAACCCTATGACACATTGTTAAGGCATTCAGATAGGCCTTTTTTTATCTCTTACATTGTAAGTGATCATATGTTTCTTAACTTGGAAAGTTTGGAAACTCAAGATACTGTTTATTTAAGAGTTTACATCGCTGTATGAGAAAACCTTTACATCCATAGGAATTATGAAACTCATGTCCCACAGCAATTGAATCACTTAAATATTCTATAATTACCATTGTCAATGTATCGTACTCGTTTGTAGAGATTTTAACGCCAGAATCCGTGATCACGATGCTTTTGCATATGGAGTTGATTCAATACCAAACCGAGATATCCGCGATATATTAGTAAACACTCTTGGGTTATTTATTGATATATTTCCTTGTTGATACCAACATTCGTATGTTAAACAGGTGGTTCGAATGTTGAAAAGATTTTACTTACATTATTGTAGATTATGCGAAAAAATCAACAAATCCATAGGAGATTGTAATTACGTAAACCAAGCTCATGGTGACCTTTGTTTTTAATTTAGCCATGGAACTTAAAATACCCGTTTTGAAGAATATACCCAAGTATGTAAATTATGTACTAGCTAGATGGAAACAGAACTACGATTAACTGTATTCGGTGCTACTATCGCTACGATAATAAGGTAAATAAATCTACGCAGCATGGGGACCCAGCGCTTACACGAGCTGAAGTAGAGAAGGCAGTTTCCTGGTCGAAAATCAGAAAAGCATCTGTGTTTGATAACATATCAGCTGAAGCAGTAAAGAATGATTGCTGCGTTGACCTTTTATTCACTGTAAAATTAACAAGATACAGTACAGAGCCGGAAGATTCTTCTTAAGAAGTGCCCCGTCACACTTCTAACTGTGACTTGCGATGCAAAATGGGCAGGACATTCTGCTTGGCAAAACAGAGGATTGAAGCTTTCAGATGATATTTGAAGTTTTCAAGAACTCCCCGTGTTGGGCGTACTTATGAGCCTTTGACATCCATAGACTGAGAAAGTAGCTACGTATTGAAAATATTTTAACTCATGCATAATCTATCCAGAGAAGTATGTCCCTCATCAAAAGTCTTTGAATGGCATTTAGAAGCGATACACATAAGGAAATTAATGTATGGAAGTCAAATTCTTTTTTATGCGGAACATCACGTTTTGGAGTTCGTGCTCAGTGTATCACCATTTCACATGGTGAAGAAGTAAACATATAATTCGAAACATTGTGTTCCTCATAAAGGGATTGCCATCCATAAATTATCTCAGATATGTATGATTATCCCTCCACTACATGAAAATCGAATTAACTAATCACAAAACATTTTCAACATGTGAATATGCTTTCACATACATAGGAGATACCATATATCAAATAAACACATGGAAAGAACATAAGTTTAAAATGCTACATAATGAAATTTACAGACCATATGTTCTCTTGAGCTGGCCTTTTGACAACAGAGTCGAGAACTGAAGCCGAGCGACCGACCGCTAGATCGTGATTAGCAGGTGAATCGCTAAGATCAGTGGAGCATGACGACCTCTCATTTCAACTTCTTTGAGAAGCGTTTAGAAGTTGGGGTACTAAGTAGGGATCAGATATATGGATGAAAACTTTGTAAATGAGAAGTTGTAATAAAGAATTTGTTCATCAATATATCCTATCCTTACTCTTATTTCAATTTATAAGTCTGTGTTGGAAGAAAACTCAGACAAACTAATGCATTACTTATACACTGATCTTCTGTAGCAGAGAAAGTGATCAAAATAAAGGAAGATTTTAAGAACTTACCTCGTATGATAAGTACAATGAACGCCAAACACAGCATCGACACAGAAGTCTTGAAATGTCTGAAAATGTAACAGAATGTATACCGATAAGAAATTACAATTAAAACAAGGTCATGACACTGTAAATGTTTGTACATTAAACCTACTTACTGATTATTAGAGAGGGACATTTTCAATGTTGATGTGTTCAGCTAACTGATGGGGCTAAGCGTGTGACCAGCAGTCGTGGAGTCAGAGTTTATATTTCGGGGAAACTGTATTCTTCCTCAAAATGGGGAAATATAAATGAATCACCTCGTGTCTCATAAAATAACAGTTGCCAAGATGAACGCAAAGCCGAACGATCGCTC